AGAGTGGGTACCTCCCAGAACATTGTTTTGTGCCACTCCCAACAGAAATACTCCAGGTGGACACCTTCAGCAATCAGGAGCTCCTCAGTTGCTCATAGCAAATCCCACCTTGGAGTTTACAAAGACTTATGGATAGAAAAGCCACACAAAGTAATTTACTATACCACAATGACAATCTCATGTACTTCAGAGTAGAACTGTGTTCCATAGGGTTTTCAAAGGCTATAATCTCTCAGAAGGAGATCACTAGACCTTTATTTTGAAACACCTCTGATTAGATTCAAACTGCCAACCTCTTAGTTAGTAGTTGAGCCCTTAGCCATCTGCTCCACTCAGGGACTCCTGTCATTAAAACCAAAAACCAAATCCACTGCTATCAATTCCAACTCAAGCAACATTATAGGACAGAGTAGAATTGCTCCATATGGTTTCCAAAGCTCTAAATCCCATACTGCCTCCAATCTCCTCTCCACATTATAGATAGCTTGAGTAATGTTTTAACTATATTTCAAACAAAACACAAATTCTTAATCATGATTATTAATTCTATGTAATTTTATGTGTCAACTTGCATAGGCTATGATGCTCAGTAGTTTGGTTAAACACAGTATAGGTGCTATTACGGAGTAGTTACATGTGATTACAGTAGTTGGCCTCAAGTACAGCTGATGACCCTCCATAATGCAGGCGGGCCTCATCCAATCAGCTGAAGATATTAAGAGCAAAATAATTTTCTCCAGGGTGTGTTCTACCTTCAGACTATAAATAGGCATTTCACCAAAATTCACTCACTCTTCATTCTTCACTCTTCCTATCACCTGACCTACAGCTCTTAGGACACAAGACTGTAAGAATCTCCAGCCTATTGTCTGACCTGCAGAGTTTAGACTTGCCAAGCCTCCCATAATCATGAGAGTCATTTAAATAAATTTTGCTTTCTTCGTATATATATGTATTTCAAGAAATAGAAGGTATATCTTACTGGTTCCTTATGAAAACACTACCATTGTTCAAAGTCCAGCCTCTCTGCAACTAATCCCACACCTCGCTCCCACAATGTCCTGGACACACTGGCTTTTTCTTCAGGTCCACAAAAAACTCAAGCATTTGGTCTTTCAGGGCCTTCACACAAACTGTTCCTTTTCCCTGGAACTCTTCTCTACATCCTCCCACTTGACACCAGGACCTAGATGTTCATTATCTGTCAAATGAATGAACACATTGTTTATATTTTTTTCCTTTCTTATGAGGTCTAGTTAAGCTAAACTACATTTAATTGTGCCTTTTCATACTACTAATATTTACTAATTTTATATTTACTGATTGTCTTTTATATTCAAATACATTCATAATTAGCATCTGCTTGTAGATAGACACACTATTAACAATGGATACTGCGAAAGGTATTAAACCATATGCTTTTTAAGCTTACTCATCCTGTTCTTAAGGAGCACCAATGGCACAGGAGTTAAAGCATTCAGCTGCTAACTAAAAAGTCAGTGTTTTGAACCCACCAGCCGCTCTGCAGGAGAAAGATGTGGTAGTCTGCTTCTGTAAAGATTTACAGCCTTGGAAACCCTATTGGCGAGAGTTCTACTCTTGTCTACAGGGTCTCCAGGAATTGTCTCAATGGCAGTGGGTTTAGTAGGCTGAATCCTGTTCTTAACCTCTGGTAGTCAAAAAATAAACCAGCACATACACAAGCTAAATACCAAAACTCTATCTAACATCATAACCCTGGCTATGATGGATGAAACAAGCTCAAGTGGATATGACTGCTCAGGTCCACTTCTCCATATCTCTCCTGGGTGTGTTCTTAAGCCCTTTGACCAGTTCTTAAAAAAAAAAAAAAAAAATCTAGTAATAGTAATATATGCTTACTATAGAAAATCTGTAAATACAGAACTGTATTGTTGTTGTTGTTGTTATGTGCCGTCGAGTCGGCCCCGACTCATACTGTATAACAACAGTCAAATAATCTCAAAACCTAGAGGTCATGCTAACATATATTTAATTCCAGGCTTTTTTCCAGGGATAGGTATTATAGTTAACACTGGAAACATACTATATATATAACACCTATTCCTGCTATTATCAGTCAACATTTTATCTTTAGCATTTAGTCATGAAACATTCTTGTAAATATTTTTAATAGAGGTTACCTTAGATAGGTACCATAAATATACCATTGATCCCTTGCTGGGCAATTAAGTTATTTCTAATCATTGGTATCATAAGCAAACCTGTGATGAACATCCTTATATGTAAATATTTGTTTGCATTTCCAATGATTGTCTTAGAAACAATCCTTAGTAGAACTCCTGAATCAAAGCAGTTCTACTTACATTACATATTTTCTTATTAAATTTTACTACTTTTCATTTTTTCTTAAATTGTATTACTTTTCAGCTTTGCTAGAATTTCCTAGTATATTTGGAAATTGCTACCTTACTTTCTAAAAACAGCTTCCCAACAAAAACCAAGTTAACCACTATCATGATCATGTTGTGAGAAGGGACCATTCCCTGGATAAGGATATTATGCTTGGTAAAGTGAAGGGTCAACTAAAAATGGGAAGACCCTCAACAAGATAGATTGACACAGTGGCTGCAATGATGCACTCAGCTATAGCAGGGATTGTAAGGATGACAAAGGACCGGGCAGTGTTTCGTTCTGCTGTACATAGGGTCACTATGAATCCAAGATGACGCTATGGCACCTGACAACAACAACTATCAAGGAAAAAAAAAAAAAATAGCAGTAGAAATGGTCTAAAACTAGGTTGTAGTGATGGTATACACTTGGTAATTTTTATTAATAATCACTGAACTGTACACTGACTACATGTGAATTTAATAGTATGTAAATTAAACCACAATAGGTTTGAATCACCAACTTTCTGGTTAGAAGTCAAATGCCTTAGGCACTGTGCCACCAGAGCTCCTTATATATATAGAAACCAAAGATTAGTAGTAGTTACCAGGGGAGGAAAGGGGAAAAGGGGCAGCATTCATTTGCAGGGCACTGAGTTTATGATAATGGTGGTGGAATATTTGGGAAAGGTAGCAATAATAG